CTCCCCAGCTCCACCTTGCACGCCTTGTGTCGAGGGTCGGCTTCGCCGTGCCCCTCACTCCTCCTCGTTCCCCCCTACCGCCGAGCCGCTGCAGACCCTGCACCTGGACGTCTGGGGCCCCGCCCCCGTCCCTGGGCCGCGTCGCGAGCGCTACTTCCTTGTGCTTGTCGACGACTTCACTCGTTACACCACAGTCTTTCCCCTGGAGCGCAAGGCCGACGTGCCTGGCGCCCTCATCCCCTGGCTTGTCTCTGCGCGTGTCCACCGCTGTCTCCCTGTCTTGCGTCTTCACTCAGACCGTGGTGGCGAGTTTGCCTCAGGTGTCCTTGGTCGCTTTTGTCGTGCGGAGGGCATCACCCAGACGTTCACCCTACCGGACTCCCCACAGCAGAATGGGGTCGCTGAGTGACGCATCGGCTTGGTCATGGAGGTCGCTCGCACCTCCATGGTCCATGCCGGTGCACCCCATTTTCTGTGGCCGTTCGCTGTGCGCTACGCTTCTCACCAGCTTAACCTGTGGCCGCACCCTCAGCAGCCGCAGGTTTCGCCGACCCGTCTGTGGACTGGGTCTCCTGGTGACGCGTCTGCGTTCCACGTCTGGGGCTGCCTTGCTCACGTCCGTGCCTCTGGCACGGACAAGCTCACTGCCCGCACCCTTCCCTGCGTCTTCCTCGGTTTTCCCCTTGACGCGTCCGACTGGCACTTTTACCACCCGCCGTCTCACCGCTTCTTTCACTCTCGTGACGTCACCTTTGACGAGTCCGTCTCCTACTACCGCCGCTTCCCCCACCGTGGTCCCCCGGTTACCCCCCCCCTGTTCCTGGTCACCCCTTCCCCGGTAGTCCCTGCCCCTCCTCCTCCTCCTCCCCGTCCCGCCCCCTCTGGTGTCTCCCATGTCACCCCCCTTCCGTCCGTGGACCCGGTTGAGGAGTCTTCTGACTCTGGTGGCCCTCCGGTGCAGTCCTCGCCGGCCGCCCCTCCCCAGGTGTCCCCTCCCCAGTCCCCTCCTCCGCCGTCCCTGCCGCCACTGCAGCCGTCGCCGTCGCCGACGCCACCGCCGCCGCCGCAGTCGCCGCCCCCGTTCGCTGACTCTGGGGGTGCTCGTCCCGGTCGCCCTGGGGGTGGTCCCTCTGGGGGTGCTGGTGTGGAGAGTGCCGGTGGTAGCCGAGGAGCAGCTTGCGGTCCAGGTGTCGCCGTTGTGCCGCCGCAGCAGCAGTCCCCGCCGGTGTCCGCCCTTCGCCTGCTCGGCCTTCCGTCCCCCGACCCTGCGTCGGTTCCTCCCCGACCGTCTCCTCCTCTTCCTGTCTACGGCCCTGTTTTCCCTCCGCCGGACTCGTCCCCGGCCCGTCTCCCCCCTCGTTCCCCTCCTGTGTCCCCTCCCCTGTCTCCTGACCCGACTCCTCCATCGCACGTCTGGTCTCACCGTCCCTCCCGTGCTCGTCCTGCCTCGCCTGTCCTGCGCTCCCACCCTATGTTGCTTCGTTCACACGCGTCTCGTCCTCCCCTTCTACCGTCGCCTCCTCCGTCCTCCCTTGTTGTTGCGCCCCCCCCGCTGTCCGACTACCTTCGTGCCGCTCGTCCTCTCGTTCCTCGGGTCCTTGCCTCTCTCGTTACCGACCCGTCTGTTCCAGTCTCGTGCCTTGACGCTCTTATCGAAGCTGTCGCTGACTTCGCCTCTACCCGCCGCCTTGACTACGCCACCGCTATGGTCTCTGACCCTGCCTGTCCTCCGTCTGTCGGGGGTGCTCCTGCCCTTGGCAATGACGTCCTGGAGGACCGCCAGTTCGAGCTTGCTTTCCTCTCCGAGGCTGCTCCCCATCTCTGTTCCATGCTGCTAGTCCCTGAGGGTGACCCAGACGCTTTCGACATCCCGACCCCTCGCACTTACGCTGAGGCGACTTCGGGACCCTGTGCCTCGCAGTGGATAGCTGCCATGGAGCAGGAGATGGCATCTTGGAGATCCACCGGCACCTTCGTCGACGCAGTTCCCCCACCTGGGGTGAACGTAGTCGATGGCCGCTGGCTCTTCAAGGTGAAGCGCCCTCCTGGAGAGCCGCCTGTCTTCAAGGCGCGCTATGTGGCTAGAGGCTTCAGTCAGCGCGAGGGGGTGGACTTCTTCCAGACTTTCGCTCCGACCCCGAAGATGACTACTCTTCGGGTTCTGTTACACCTAGCTGCTCAGCGTGACTACGAGCTTCACTCCCTCGACTTCTCCACTGCCTTCCTTCAGGGCAGCCTACACGAGCAGGTCTACCTGCGCCGCCCTCCGGGCTTTACTGGCACCTTCCCTCCTGGGACCCAGTGGCTCCTGCGGCGCCCCGTCTACGGCCTGCGCCAGACTCCCCGTGAGTGGCACGACACTCTGCGTGCTACGCTTGCTGACCTGCAGTTCTTTCCGTCTTCTGCAGACCCTTCACTCTTCGTTCGTGCTGGCCAGACTCCGTTCTACATCCTCGTTTACGTCGACGACCTGGTCTTTGCCACAGCAGACAGGGACGCGCTGGCCTCCGTGAAGGCAGAGCTGCTGAAGAGATGCACCTGCACTGACCTTGGAGAACTGCGCCGTTACCTTGGCTTGCAGATCTCCAGGGACAGAGCTGCGCGCACCATCACCCTGACTCAGTCACACTTGGTGCGCCAGGTCCTTCTGAGGTTCAGCCTTCAGTTCTCCTCTGCACAGCCCACCCCTCTGCCTGTAGACCACAGGCTCTCCGCTCCAGTGCCTGAGGAGTTGGTAGAGCCCAGCGGCCCCTACGCAGAGCTCGTGGGTTGCCTCATGTACCTGATGACTTGCACTCGCCCAGATCTCGCATACCCTCTCAGCATCCTGGCTCGTTTTGTGGCCACAGGCAGACACCGACCGCAGCACTGGTCTGCCGCTAAGAGGGTTCTGCGTTATCTTGCTAGTACATCGGGCATGGGGTTAGTGCTAGGAGGACGCAGGCCAGCGGTCCTTACTGGGCACACAGACGCTTCGTGGGCAGACGACGCTGAGACACTCCGGTCTACCCAGGGCTACTGCTTCAGCCTTGGCTCAGGTGCCGTCTCGTGGAGAGCTACCCGCTCCTCGTCTGTTGCTCAGTCCAGCTGTGAGGCTGAGATCTACGCTGGTGCCATGGCGGCACAGGAGCTCCGCTGGCTGACCTTCTTGCTCACTGACTTAGGTGAGCGGCCTAGCTCTGCCCCGGTCCTGTTCGCTGACAACAGGGCCATGATCCTCCTGTGTCAGGAGCCTCGACTCGAGGGCAGAGCGAAGCACATTCAGCTGCGGTACTTCCTCCTGCGTGAGCTACAGCAGCGACGTCAGGCTCGCGTAGTACACTTGGCCTCAGGTGCCAATACGGCTGATATCTTTACGAAGGCGCTTGCGCCTAAAGATCATCAGCGGCACTGTGTACAGCTTGGTCTAGTTCCTGTAGCCTCTCACTTGCTAGGACCTTGACTTTGTACTGTCCTTTATATGTATACTCAGACTGGACTTGTGTCCTCTCCCAGTGGCTGGACTAGTAGTGCCGCCCTGCTCTTGTGCTTGCCTTGTCTGTACTCCTTCTGATCGGTCGCTCAGACCCTTGTCTCAGAGGTTGGACTAGTAGTGCCGCCCTGAGCTGCTTGTTTAGGGTATTCCCCTATGCAGTCTAGGGGGTGTGTCAAACATGTGTATTTGTCATGTTTGTATAGACTGTATAGAGTCACCTCTTAGAGGATACAAAACTTAGATATATTTGTGTGTACTCTCACTTTACGATCATAAAATTATTCTGTTACATGTATGTGCAAGTTGACATTTCTTCTGGTATTGCCTAAACCTTACACTCACAACTCGATTGACACCACTGTCTGAGTCGTGACTCAGCTGACTTGCTGCTGTCCACAGCTGGTTTTTGCTATTCATCAAGTATTCATGTTAAATTATATATATTAGTATATAATTGTAGGCTTGGTAGGCTTACTGAACTTTACTGTAGATGGTACAACACCCCTCCTTGTATCCCTCTCACTTCTATTCTGATTCTCTTTTCTCTCCTCAACCTTCCTAGCACCTAAAACCTCTCGCCATTTCCATAGCTCCTCCTAGCTCCTAGCTAAACCTTATGCCGTTTTATGGCTTCCTAGCTAAGCTAGTCTTGTAACATGGTATCAGAGCAGGTGGTCCTCCCTGCTTCCGCCGCGTACTCCTCACCCTGATTCGCTCGCGCGGCCATGGCGGCCGCGTTTTGCTGCAGTGGCGGCGTCGTGATGCCGCTGGCCGCGTCTTGCCGCGGCCGTCTCGACGCGCTGCCGTGGTGTCGGGCCGTCGTGCAGCCGTCGCAGCGTCGACGTCCTGCCGCGGCGTCGGCGCCGCTCTGTGACGGCCTCGTCGGGCTGCAGCTGGCCGCGCGACGCCTGTGGCGCCGCTAGACCGGCCGCCCGCATGCCAGCCTGTGGCGCACCCCCCCCCCTTCCTTCCCCTGTGTCCTCTTCCTTTCCGCAGACGACGGCTGACTCCCGCCGGCCGTCCCACCGTCGCGGGGCCTGGCCACGTCACCGAGAGGTGCGGGCGCCGCCGCCGCCGCCGCTGTTGTCGAAGCCGCCGCCGCCGCCGCTGCCGTCGAAGCCGCCGCCGCCGCCGCTTGCGTCGGGGCCACACAGCCGCACGCCGCCGCCGCTGCCGCTGTCGACACTGCCGCCGCTGCCGCCGCAGCCCCTGCGGTCGACGTCGCCGCCTCACCTCACGCGCCGAGGGGTCGACCGAGCTAGTGTCGCTGTCACTGTGGCTGGAATGGGTGTGCTAGGTTAGGGGGTGTGGGTGTGTGTGGGCTTGTGTCTACCAAGCTGAGGGGGTGTTTTAAATTATATATGTTAGTATATAATTATAGGCTTGATAGGCTTACTGAACTTTACTGTAGATGGTACAACACTCCTCCTTGTATCCCTCTCTTCTATTCTGATTCTTTTTTCTCTCCTCAACTTTCCTAGCACCTAAAACCTCTCGCCATTTCCATGGTTCCTAGCTCCTAGCTAAACCTCATGCCATTTTATGGCTTCCTAGCTAAGCTAGTCTTGTGACAATTCAAACACTCACTCACAACACAACACATTCATATAACAGTATCGCACACAAACATAGTTAGAGGGGTCAGTAACTTTCTGTTAACCAAGGCGTGCTGCAATTTGCATACTCCCCACATGCCGAACTACCCAATGGACGAAAGCACACTGCTTTGGGATGCCCCTACAACCACCACCTCCCATCCAGGCCCTGCAGGCGGCAACGACCGAACCCCGCCTTGCGCCTTCCCTCCCCCACCACTGGACCCTTCACCACTAGCCAAAGCAGCCGCAGCAGCGGGGGCATCGTCCAGCATATCGGCGCGGTCCAGCAAGAGGTCAAGGTTCTCGTCGCTGATCTCTGACGCCTGAACCAGCTCGTCGTGCTGCGAGCGCTCGGGGCGCAGCAGCGAGATCACCTCCGCTTCCTGCTCAGGCAAGGGAGGGGGTTGGAGGGTGGGCCACACAGGTGAGGGGTTGGGCGGTGCGCAACACAGGAGATGCGAGAGGTCCAGCAAGAGGTCGAGGTTCTTGTTGCCGATCTCTGAGTCGTGCACTAGCTCGTCATGCTGCGAACGCTCGGGCCGCAGAAGCGAGATCACCTCTGCTTCCTGCCCAGGTGGGTGGGTGGGTGGGTGAGCAGAGGGGTGGGCCACAGGAGAGCGGTGATGGTAACCATTGCGTGTGCGTGAGGTGAGGGTGTGCATATGCACATACACACACCTGAGGGAGGGGGGAAGAGAGCGAGAGAGAGAGAGAGAGAGAGAGAGAGAGAGAGAGAGAGAGAGAGAGAGAGAGAGAGAGAGAGAGAGAGAGAGAGAGAGAGAGAGAGAGAGAGAGAGAGAGAGAGAGGGAGAGAGAGTCATGGTATATAATACTCCCCAGCCCATCCTAGAGTTCATTATTTAGTTTCGAGCTGAGTTCTTCCTCAGGTTCCTGCAGCGGCGCTCGCGCCGGCGGCCTTCGGCCGCCGTCGCTCGCGGCGCAGCCCCTGGCCGTGCAGGAGGGCAGGGAAGGGGGCGGGACGGGCAGACAACCTCCACTCCAATATCAGCGACATTAAAGCATACAAGCATGCC